TCGAATATTTTTTGGGCTAAATGCACACATTTCAACGGCACTCTCTCTTAACGAATACTTTCCTTGAAATAGACTGTTTTTTTGTAGTTGGTAAATGTGTTCGCAATTATAGATTTGATGCATTGAAATTTTTGTTTATTCCAAATGGCAGGCGTTTTGTTGCTTGTCATTAGCCCTTTAGCTGACTTCGGACTTCACAGAGAGGGGGAGCAACATCAAAATGACAAAAGTCGAGAAGAGGGACAGAATGTTGATCCACGGATATAAAAGAGACAGACAATTACAAAGGTAGAGAAAAGGTAAGACTAGTACTGTGAAAGGGGTCGAATACAACATATAGACGGTTCATGGTATTTTGTAGTCAGAAGTCAACTGCCGGTTTATAGACTTTTTTGCCGTATGAATAGACGTTGCCCAGGGTGCACCACTTGGAGGTTAGTCATCACACACATCATTTTGTCGAATTGATTTTGTAAGAATTATTATATCAAATGGCAAGCGTTTTGATGGTCATCATTAGCCCTTTAGTTGACTTCAGGCTTCACAGAGAGGAAGGAACATCAAATTGAAAAAAATCGAGATGGGGGGGGGGGGAACAGAAGAGTGTTTCAAAGATGCAAGAGACAAACACAAATGTAGAACAAAGGTGAGGTGAGTACTGTGAAATGGGTTGAATATGGCATACAGTGGAGGTGCTGGTTGTTTGAAGTGAGAAGTCAACTGTCCGTCAATATACGTTGCCCAGGGTGCACCACGTGGAGGTAATTCTATCTCACACCCCGATTTTGTAAGAATAATGATGAGGAAACTTCAGTTTGAATTATAGATCTATATTAATTATCTTTTTTATTTCTGATCATGAGGCACATTTAACTATTCATCAACTTTTGAAACCTAAAATGTTAGTTTTAATAAAAATAGAATTATGCAACTGAGCTAAATTATCTTCCGCATCGTTCAAGAGGTTAAATTAAGAATCTATTAACTTTACTCATCTAAATTTCTTTCTTCTTACATTTGATGACGATAGGAATTTCCTAACGTAATATTTAGCAATTAAATTAAACGCATATTGAAAAACCGAATGGACGTCTAGCTAAAGTCTTATAGTACATATTGCGAATAATTCTAAATGGGTGAAATTTTAAATATCTCCAAACCATTAATTTCACGTTATTATACTAGTTCCCACAGTTAAATATTTGATAGATTGTTAAATATCATATTAACGGGACAGAAATAGACCATTTAGACTGAAAATTTTAAAATGCCAGCTTTTATCTGCTTAAACGAAATAAAGAATTAAATTTAATTTTGTTATTGAACAAAAAGTAGGATAAACAAAAATGTATACTAAGTAAATAGATTAAAACGGCGAATAAGTGATAAAATTTATTAGTATATAAATCCTTTGTATCATTTTTATTTACTGTATGTAACCTTCAAACCAATTGCGCACTGTCTCAATTGGCGTTTTCCCAATAGTATTTACGTTAATTTTGTTCGTAACTATTTGTATGTTTTCTCTCCTGCGGATAAAATAAATTATTTTTTACTTGACAGCAATATACTGGTAGGTATTGTATTATGCACTGTATTACTTGAAATAATATTAGGGCTTCATGGTTAATTTAAAAGATCGTTAAATTTACATTTCAATCTATTTGCTTCTTTATTACTAAAACCCAAAGTACTATTTAAAGTGTTATTATTTATCTTATTTCATTTTCGTTTGTTTTTTAGATTATTCATGCGAGATGTGTAAATATTGGACATTATTGTTAATTATGTTGGATATTCTATCTATGCATTTTGTCAGAGTCGAACTTATCAACGAATATGTAATTGAAGTCGCAGTTGAAGACCGAGCCAAAGAGATACTAGAGTCCATGGGGTTTAAATTAATTCGAAAAGTATGACAAGCGTATCCCTAAATAACATTTTAGATTCATGGATTTGAACGATCTTATCTTGCTAAACTACCTGAAAATTCTCTTAAAAATGCTTCAAGAGTAATTAGCCGAACTAAAAGAAGTGCTGAGATTGTTTTGATCGAGCAACAAGAAAGACTCATTCGAACTAAACGTGATTTCGTAACTTGGAATGATCCTAAATATCCGGACATGTGGTATTTAGTAAGTCCGATATCTCTCTTTCTTTACATTTGTCATATGATTCAGTTAACTTTTTTGTTTATTAATTTTAGAATCGAGCTGCTTTGAAGGGTGGTAATGAAGTAGATCTCAATGTTCAAGAAGCCTGGCAACTAGGATATTCAGGTAAAGGAGTTGTCGTGACAATTATGGACGACGGATTAGATCATACCCATCCTGATCTTGCTGCTAATTATGTAATTTTATATCTATAATTTTGTTACAATTTTAAGTAAGAATTACTGAAATGTACTTTTTCAGGCCAAAGATGCAAGCTGTGATGTAAATGATGGCGATCGTGACCCGATGCCCAATACAACCAACCCGGAAAACAAGTGAGTGAAAACGCCACTACTTATTTTTTTATTTATTAGGCATATATTTGCGTTTATTACGAATGCCAGTTTGCCTCTCATTAATCATTAGGTGTAGGTTGAGCCATAATTTCAAATTGTTTGAAAAAATTTAAACAATTAATACAGGTCTTAGTAAGGGGTAAAGAGGAGGGGACCAAAAAGTCCTTGATTGGTGATGCCAAGGGGTCAAAAAGAGACTCACTTCATTTCCAGGTTCAATATGCGCGATACTCTTATTAGATTGGTAGTTCAAGTTCTAAAATTGAAAAAAAACGCCTTTCACATGTGTTTGAGCAGATACTTGTCTATGATGTTCAGTACTTATTGACATTTTTTGAACAAAATACGATCGGTCTTGCCACAGGAATAGTTGAGAAGGCAAAATGATATTTGGTGATCCTCATCAGCTTGCAGTTTCAAGAATGGAGAGAAGGAGAGGGAAAGTACCTTTTCACCATTAATTTGCACATTGGTAATTGATTAGGATGTCTTATTTCCTCATTTCTATACTTGCGTTTGAAATTGTTGCATGTGCAACTTTCCATCTTGTAGTAATGGTTGGAGATCTTAAGGGAAAGATCAGATTGGAGCCTTAATGCATTAAGTAACTTAAATTTTAAGTTAGACGAATTTCCTAACACGTTTTTACGAATTATTAATGTATTCAGCAGTGCAGTTCCTCGACACAGCACATTTTTCACACGGGCGATTAAAATTTCAGTTGTCCTAGAGTTGGTTAATGCAATTAATCTATATACGTATATACATTACAATTTTAAGGTGTTACTGGTTTGACGATGTGTAGCTACTTTAATATTGCTTTTTTTCCCAAACCAGAGTTTCCTATCCAGTAACACTTTTCTTGAAGTCATGGTTTTTCCACTTTTGCTTAGACTTTACCCTCACAATGGTCATAAAATGGCGTTATTCATCTTGAAAATAACTCCATTTGAGTATTCGATTAGCCTTTTATTTAACACGATGTCCTGTCTATCCGACAAATACTAACACCGCTCAATCTAGCTAATTCCATTTTTAACTATTTCGCGGTACTTAATTTTTTTCTTACAAAAGTATATTTATACTAAATACTCATTCATTGTTTTCATACCAAAGTAATTACCAGTTTAGTTGCATTCATGGTGAGTATTGGGAGTAAACAGACTAATTGCGATTCAATCAATCTGTCGTTACATATTGTGCATTTTGAATAGCACTGTTTTCCCTCCTTCCCACTTGGAGACAAGTTTTATGTTTATGCCTTTGTGTCGGAGACACATTTACCAAGATACACCAACTGGTATTGATTGTAGGCAATTTCTCTATGAAAATATCGACATTTTCTCCCTTTGTGAAAGATAATCCTGTTACGCGAAGTCGAGGAATGCCTTAAGGTGTAAGATTCTCATTTTTGATGATTTTGAACCGGATCTTTGCTATTGCCCAATTCTGTGATTGCATTCTAGGCCTCTTTATAAACACAGACCATAGAACCAAGAAATGGAAACATTATTCTTCCTAATGTAAAGGGTAAATGGGCCCATAATATTGAAATTTTGCTGAGAAAATAATGTTCTCAAAAGTGAATTCTTGAAATTTCACTTGAAATTCCAGACTTTGATAGTTCACCAACCCCCCCCCCCGTCCAATATAAATACCTAATAAACAATAGTAAAATTGGATTAATCGGATTGTAATATATTGAATTCTGATGGAAGGTTGTTTATTAATTAAGCTAGATTTGTTTTTTATTATTTTGAATTTCTAAAACAGTAGTCTATTAATTCCCCCCCCCCAGAAATTAGATTGAATTTGATAGAGTAAGAAATAATTATCTACTAAAAAGAGGAAAAACAATTTTGAGCTTGGATCAAGGTAAAAGTAAAAAGTTGTGTCATAACATTCTCGAAAGTTTGAGAAATTCTCTCTTTAATCTCCTTGGTTCAGGAGTAATCGTTCATGTTCGCAATAGTGATTAATTTTAGCTTTGATTAAATAGTTGAAATAAATTAAAATCTTTCAGTGGTTATGGAACATCAAATCGATGCTGCCTAAAATGTTTGTACTAAGCCTTCAGTAAGAGTTCAAGCCATCAAAAGTACAATGTGCTCTTATTGTTTAGTGTCACTTTTCACAATTTCTGGGTGAATCCCTTTTTTGAATAAGAGTCTACAAATCTATTGGAAGCTCTCTCTATTTCACTTCTTACGCCTACAGGCTCCCTCTCAATTTTTGGGTTTCAATGTTTAAATCTATTCAAACAAGAAGATTTTGTTCTCTCTCTCTCTGTGTACATATCTCCATCATTGCCATTTTCTACGCAGTTCACACGTAATGCTGGAACCTATCAATCATGCAATTGCACTTCTGACCCAATTAAGTCAGGTCCCATATCAGGAAATAGGAAAAATGTATGACAATTGAATTCTCTCCTGTTTACATAAGCTAATGAAATGTGTTCAAGTATGCGTATTTAGAAGCGGTGCGTCAGCAATTGTATCGAACAGCTGTGCACAAAGATGCAAATTTTCACATTTTATATCTTAAAGCATTACATTTTATTTCGCATTTGTTTTTTTTACCTGTGTAAATTCTTTAGACATGGAACGAGATGCGCCGGCCAAGTTGCTGCCATTGGAAATAATTCAAATTGTATCGTTGGAGTTGCTTTCAATGCTAAAATTGGAGGTAGGTATTTCTTTTATTCACTTTTAAAGGTCTTAAAACGCCCTGTTAGTTAGTTACTTCTCCAAAATATTAGAATCTGAAAGTTAATGTCTCAATTATTCATCATTTATTTATTTATATCAAATGGCAGGCGTTTTGATAGCTATCATTAGGCCTTTAGTTGACTTCAGGCTTCACAGAGGGGAGGGAACATCAAAGTGAAAAAAAGTCGAGAGGGGGGGAGAGGAACAGAGGAGTATTTCAAAGATGTAAAAGAGACAGACACAAAGGTAAAGAACAAGATAAAGTGAGGTGAGTATGGTGGAAGGGGCCGAATATGACTTACAGTGGGGTCAACTGCCGGTTTATAGACTTTTTTACCGTATGAGTATACGTTGCCCAGGGTACACCACGTGGAGGGCCGTTTGAGTATACGTTGTCCAGGGTGCACCACCTGGAGGTAAGTCTATCGTGAGTATACGTTGCCCAGGGTGCACCACGTGGAGGTGTATGAGTATACATTGCCCAGGGTGCACCACGTGGAGGTAGCCGAATGAGAATACGTTGCCCAGGGTGCACCACGTGGAGGTAAGGTGTGAGTGTACGTTGCCCAGGGTGCACCACGGACTCTTTTGCCGTGTATACGTTGCCCAGGGTGCACCAGTTTGTTTGCCGTATGAGTATACGTTGCCCAGGGTGCACCACGTGATAGACTTACTTGCCGTATGAGTACACGTTGCCCAGGGTGCACCACGTGGTGCCTTATGAGTATACGTTGCCCAGGGTGCACCACGTGGAGCCGTATGAGTAAACGTTGCCCAGGGTGCACCACGTGGAGCCGTATGAGTATACGTTGCCCAGGGTGCACCACGTCAAGTCTATCGCACACCCAATATTGCCATTATTTTAATGCGTGCTGGAAGACAATTCCCTTTGGGCATTGCTTAGAACTTGATCTGTTCGATAAAAAGTGCACTAATTGCTGGTTTTCAGAGGAATGTTTGTGTTTATCTGTACTTTTACAGTCGCATGCTATGTTGTCCCGTTTAAATTCCTTTCAAGGATAGACCTAATTTTTCACAAGTTTAAATGATTCGGAAGATAGTGCCTATTCCATCTACGCAAATAACAATTTGAAGATCTCTAGGCTACTATTTATTAATTTCATCAGGCATTGAAATCGGTTAATAAGCGGGTAGATAGCGATGTTTTTTAAAAAATTTCCTGCTTATCATGCTATTATTTCAATCGGTGCCTTTATAAATGGCTTTTTTAGCCCATCATTTTTTATTTGAAATCGGAAATTTTTCCTTTATTCCTGAAGCAGCGCATTCTTTCACCTTGATACTTCGATTTCACCTATCCTATTATAACTCTCTACAAACTAATATAGCAGAGTAGTTCTGTTTGTAACTATTATTTTATTTTACAAGTAAATCAGGGCGAATAATTATTATTGGTAGCATTTTTTCATTTATGGAAAGTGGACATGTCTCGGACAATATACATGTAAAGATGGCACAAATAATACTCTTGCAATTAGAAATCCATATTTGTTTTGAAATGCTTTTTTACGTGGACAGAAGCGTTCGTGTTACGTGGTATTCCACTAACTACCCTCCCCCCCTTAACCGAAATTAGCCACTACAGTTGGCTATCCGCATCGCTTGATATTGTGGCCATCATTTTATGGCAACTAAAACTGTCCGATTTTCTCTCATTGACCACTTTGCCACCACTTCGATAAAATCTGCATGAACAGCACATTGTTGTCCATTCCCTCGTCTAAATTAGATCTGTAGATTTGAAAAATTAGGGAATTTACTATTTACACATCTTATCATTGTAGTTTATTGATCCCGAAGAAAATTCTGGCTATTTTATAAGAAGAAAAATTCTGCTAAAATTTTTTTCATTGTTTGGAAACTATAGATTGCCCTTTTCCTATGGAAGACATATCTTTTATTTACGAGTTCCAGTCTGCTGTACTATATTATTGCAGTTGCGCGTCTTTTTGGCTGAATTTATTTGAAGGCGAAAGTTTTGTCTTATTTCGACTGAAGCTACACTCGTGTCCTTTTGCCCACCAAAATTGAATTTTCTTTTTTTTTACAGCTATTTATTTTGACCCTTGAATTCAAGTATAAATTTTATTTTTATTCCCTTCAGTGTACTTCGTTTTGCGAAGGACTTTGAAAGGTTAATTCCGAGGTAAACTCTAAAATCTATTTGATTAGTTAAAGTAGTTAAGGTATGAATTAGAGCAAAAACAATATAGTTTTTTGATTTTATCTTTTCTATGGTTGTAACCACAGTCTCATCCTCAACTTTAATGTTTATAATCTCAATATCTTCAGTTGGACATCAAATACGCGAGTTGAATTCATGAAAATTCTTGGAACATAATTCGTAGTGGATTATTCCATTTGCTTATTGTGCTCGCGATTCCGAATGAATCCTCGCAGGGGTATATCAATGACTAATTTGATAACCTATTCTTCCCAATTCCCGGTCTTATTGAAGTGAAGAAAAGTTCTTGTTGAATCAAGATCATCTACCTTCTGAACTTTATTGACGCCAATTCTTCTGTGTCGGAGATCCTAGATCACATAAGTTTATTTATTTATATCAGATGGCAGGCGTTTTGATAGTTACCATTAGCCCTTTTTATTGACTTCAGGCTTCACAGATGGGAAGGAACATCAAAGTGAAAAAGGTCGAGATGGGGGGGGGGAACAGGAGAGTGTTTCAAAGATGTAAAAGAGACAGACACAAAGTTGGTAAAAAGGTGAGGTGAGTACGGTTGAAGTAGTTGAATCTGACATACAGTGGGGTGATGGTAGTTTGGAGTCTGAAGTCAACTGCCGATTAATAGACTTTTTTGCCTTATGAGTATACTTTGTAACATACAGTGGGGTCATGGTAGTTTGAAGTCAGAAGTCAAGGCATACAGTGGGGTCATGGTAGTTTGAAGTCAGTGGTCAACTATACAGTGGGGTGATGGTAGTTTGAAGTGAGAAGTCAACTACCAGTCAATAGACTTTTTTCCGCATAAGTATACGTTGCCCAGGGTGCACCACATGGAGGTTGTAAGTACACGTTGCCCAGGGTGCACCACGTGGAGGTATGCCGTTTGAGTATACGTTGCCCATTGGTTTATAGACTTGTTTGCCGTATGAGTATACGTTGCCCGTCAATGGGGTGATGGTAGTTTGAAGTGAGAAGTCAACTGCCACAGTGGGGTGATGGTAGTTTGGAGTCTGAAGTCAACTGCCGATTAATAGACTTTTTTGCCTTATGAGTATACGTTCCCCAGGGTGCCCCTTGTGGGGGTAAGTCTATCGCACACCCCAGATCACATAAGTAGTTATTTGTTGCTATGACAGTGGGGGCATCGGCTTACATTAAATATTCATAACCAGAAAATAATTCAAACTACGAGAGAACTGACAAGCGTAGATTTTTCCTATTGCGGACGCAATCATTTGCTATGACCAAACTTTTTCAGGCGCTAAATTGTTCCATTTCTGTAACATTTTTGATGAATGACCTAATGATGCTAAAAAGTTTAATCTACTTTTGTTAAATAATTTGCCATCTATAAACTTTTTAAGCATCACATCCATAAGGCGAATTTGACAAAGAGGATACGCAGCTTTCAAATTCTTGAGTACTTAAAAGGGAGATCTCCGTGGGCTTTTATGCGTATCCCTTTTCATGATAAGATGTTCTTTTGGAACTTTCATTCACCAATTTTACCTTAGAATGTCATTGTCCTCAATGCTTTTTCTCTTCATTTCTTTGAACAGCTTTCAATACGGAAATAATTATGCGAAGGCACATATCCACCAGAACGAAATATTGGAAGAATAGTTGCATTGTGTCTGACGAGAATATTTTTTAACCTAATATTTCTGTTATTAAATTTATTTGCGTCACTGCATGATTCCTAAATACGCCCCTAGTTTCACCAAAATTTAACATATTTTAATTGGGAATGCTTTGGAGTGTAGTGGGAAAGGAATTTCCACGTTGCCATCATCATGTTTATTGCTGAGGCAATTTTGTTGCTGCTAATACGTAATTTTCCTAACGTATGTTTGACAATAAAAAGAAAAGTATATTTTATCGATTTGACATTCTGATGCATCCTATCTTAGAGGCTTTAAAATGTCACCTTTTAAGGTGACTGGTCACTACTCGAACAACCACCACCAACTGTTCAATAAATGATTTCATTAGTCTTCGGTAATTTCAATTTGCTGGAAAATTGCTTGAATATGCGTGTTCTGAATTTCTTGGATTCCAAACGCTAAAACACCAATATGTAAAATGCTAGAAATTATTATACTGCTGGTTTTTTAGGGTTGCCTTTGCATACTTTTTAATCGATCAGAATTAAGCCCCATGTTTAGCCGTCCATATAAATGAATGCGTATCGGCGAGCATTGATCTCAGCAAATCTGTCCTAGCTGACGTGCACATTGATCCATGTGTCACCAAAGTGTAATCCTCTATCCACCTTGTTGTTCTAACACCGAATAAATCAATTTGAGTTCATTCAAAGTATAGGGTCTTTTTGAGAATAGTATTGTATGAGGATTTCTCATGAAGGCTGTTCTCATTTGAACCTTTATGCCTAATCTCAATGGCCTTCCCTCTTTTGATCTTCTAATTTCCGTTTCCAGAGCTCATAAGTGCCTCCGCTGCAGGTAAATCACGAACCTCCACTCACGTCTTAATTCTCAGACCACACCAGTTGAAAATGTGCCTTCTCACGGTTCTCCAACTTCTTTCACCTCTCGTAGATACAAACGTCCTTGAACTCTCCTCCAACTGACGATTTGTGCTGAGTCATTTTCACTCACCTTGCGAATCTTCTCGATGAGAATTCTCATTAAAAAAAACTAATTTCAAGCTAATTTATTTTAGTGTAAATTGGGTCGCTTACATTAACAGTACCTCTGCTGCTACTACTACTACTACTACTACTACTTTGCGTATTTTTGAGCATCTCTATGTGGATTTGATAGCGTCCACAAAAATGTATCCACCATTAAAATGAGTTCACGTTTTACGGCGTTGATCCGGCCGATGGGCTAGTGACTTAGTCAGTTGAATATTGGCAAATGTCGAGAGACAGACTCAAATGATGAGCAATCTCTGCCATGTCCTCTGAAGACATCGTGTTCTTGATGAAATTGTGAAGCATTCTATTTAAACAACTTGGCAACAACCTCCAAACATCGTGGACAAATAACCTAACAGACCAACTCTTCGAAGTAATTGTCAGTGATGTATTTAAATAAAAGTGGGCAACCCATCGAATTTAAAAAATTAATTAAGTATGACTCTTGGTGTTTGGTCTTTACTCCCTACCCATATCTCTTATTTCACTAATTTTTCGTCTGCACTTAAGCAGAATACTTAATTTTAGCATAAGTATCTTAGCAAACAAATATTTGATAAATTTTAATTTTGAAGGAAATTAAATTTTTCACACTTTTCGAGATCTCCATCAGATGCCAATTATTTGATATGCTGTCTTTGAGGTCAAAGCTGTGTTCCCACCAAAATTTGTGGTACTTTATACTCCTTTCGAGAACTAATTAATTATATAAAGACGTCTTTATTTTACTAAACTCCCTGGCTTTATATTTGATCTTTCCAATTGCTTTTTTGCAATTGGGCACTCTTTTAAAATTGTCCCACATTCACGCTGTCATTACGCCTCATAGTTTTAATTGTTCTCCCTGTTAATTTCATGATGAAATTATTTCTCATTCAAACCCATGCCAGTTAATGCAAAGGTCATAATACATAGTGGGTCTTGACCACTTGATGGATTGAGTGATTAGAAAGCAAAATTTAGCAAATGTTTTGGAGCCGTTGTGGTTTTAAATGGCCCGGTTTTTTCGTTCAAATAAGAACTTACAGGCACTTTTAATTAAATTGTTGAGGTGGCCTAAAGAGTTAGCGTTTGTTCTCACGAGAATTCTTGTTCCAACATATTCCAGCTAGCGGAACCTCAGTGACACTAGCGAACTGTCCTCTTATTTTGCTTATCTCTACCATTCAGCAACTCACCAACCCGCATGGTGGGGTTTGTTTAGTCTTATCTACGACGCATATGAATTTCTCTTTGTTACGCCACTCTCTTTTACGCAAACATTTTTCTGCTTACCAGTCTGAGAGGTGGTGCCTTCTCTCTCTCCCCATTTCTTCTTTTCCCCTAATAAAAGTGTCCTATGAATTGGGAGTACAGTGGGTTTGCATGATTCTTCCCGTCGATTACGGGAATTTCTTCCAAGCGTCATAGTAGGTTATAAAACATCAGCAGTGTGTATCTATAGCATTACTTAAAGTGGGTGCTCAATTCGTGTGTGTGTGTGTGTGTGTGTGTGTGTGCGTGTGTGTGTGTGTGTATGTGTGTGTGTGTGTGCGAGTATTGGTGCTCTACCTGTGTTTATTTATTCCTGTAGAAATACTCTGTGGGCCAGGAGCTCTTTAACGAAGTGTGTCAGTATCTCAGTCTTCGTGAGCGAGATTTCTTTGGTCTCTACTTCTTCAAAAACGCTTCCAGCGATGTCCACGCTTCCAATTCTGTTATCTCAAATGCCAATCCTAGTACAACTTTTAGAAGAATGCCATGGCAGTCTGAAGCCGCCGAGGATTGTGCAATCCATCATCGCGGTATCCCAGTGAGTCTGACTCCATTGTCATTGCTATTTATTTATTATATTTAAGTACAATGCTTTGAAACACTCATAATTATATCAACCTCATGGAAAGATGGTTTGGGTAGATGTTCAGTGTTTTGTCCAAAGGGTTTTACGCTCTGTGAAAAGTACTAATCTCACCAATGATTCAAGCATATTACGGGATGTCTTTTCCAATACTCATCTTTAGTAGTTAGGTAGCATTGAAACAATCACCAAAATGTCTTATATTTTTTAATTTAGTTTAATTCATTTCATTTTCATAAAGAAGAATCATGTTTGGGTTTTTGCGTTCTAATGAATTGGATTAAATCCAACCGGTTAGAGTATACTGATTACCGCTTTGTACTCCCCGCTTTATCGATACTTCGTAAGCTACCTGGGAAACAGGTGGACAAGACAATTCCATGGCTGAAGGTGCAGACGCTCTAATCTTGCCCCCCCCCCCCACTCCCCTCTATTGTCTCTCCTTTCACTCTTAAGTTCCCATTACCGTTGCAAAGTATACTTTTGACTTTCTGATCCGAAAACAGTTCTTCCTCATCACAGAGTATTCGAATGAAATAGTTACATTCTAGCGTATCCTTTAATAGCCAATCATGTTCATTACAATTGGGCATTCTGTTTATTGGTGTTTAGTGTTAGGCATCAAACCTGTGGTCTCCGACCTTACATTCGAGTTTAGTGATCAAGGGGTCATCGACTTATTTTCTTCCACTGAGTTGACTGAGCATATGAGGAATTAATAAACCAGTGCATTTATTTTAGGTACACCTAGAGTGAATAGGCTGTTATTCCCCTTGGGATTATGGAACTGTTTCATCCTGTCAGTTTATTTTGTTTGACCTTGACCTGAAATTCTTGCAGTGGATAATTTGGTCCCTGTTGGTAATTAGAATCTTGCTATAAAAAATAATAAGATTTTAAAGCACGTCTATCCAGACATTAACCCCGCTATAATGTCGGGTCACGTCTACCATATTTTAAGGACGTACAACCTCATCATGGTTTTTTCTGATCTTCCTATGGCTCTTCCCCCCTCTCCCCCCTCACCGCCGCAAAGGATAGGGATAAATTGGTTGTCGTTTCAAGAAATGTCGAAATGGTCATTAAAAAAACCCAGCGACGGTCATTAGGTAAATTCTTTACAAAGCTTAGAGGTTCTTTGGGTAGTGATATTTCAAAAAAAAGGATACCTCTCTACACAAGCCCATGCCTTTCCCTTGAATGAAAATTCGGTCACACATAATTGGATTATGTGCCTATCTAACTCTTTCTAAAATCAAAAAAATCAATATTTACAATAGTCACAACTATCTCTTTAACAAATTAGGTTAATTGTATGAAATTTTTTGAACGGGAAATAGGTTGTTGCTTTACTTCCATCAGACGCATTTGTTTTGAGTTGTATTGAGAACTCCCCACAATGACTCTGACTTAACTTAGTCTCATTAGATAGAAATGGAAAGTTTGGAAGGAGTTTTGGGACCATTAATTTGATTTGATCGCTTTTCCTTCTTCTGAGCTAGTCATATCACTATACATTTTGGAATGAATTTAAATTAATTATACCAATCTTGATATGAAATCACTATCCTGCTTAATGTCAGTTGTCAACTAACAGTTTATAAGTGAAATGGGTCAATGGGGTGAAGAAACATTCTGGGGCTGGTGAGTCTGTCATGATGTCATTTCTAGTATAGTAAAATGCACTTGAAAAGTCTCAAATTGAGCTTGGTTTGAATAATTGCTAGTCCAAGTTCACTCAAGATCAGCTTGTCAATTTTTTGATTATATGAAGACATATTCCCATTTCGTTCAGCCTTCCACCTCACACTAAAGCATTCGAACTAGCTCTTTACGATACCCTTCTATGAATTTATTTAACCCTAACTTTTTCTCTTTCCCTTGTTTCAGTTCTGGCTCAAAATGAACAAAAGAGTTGTGGATCAATGTAAAAGTAAGTCTTTTTAGCTGTTTGTTCGCTTACATTGAATGCGTCGGTGACACGTTGGGGTTGTCCCGCTATGTCTGAGATCGCGAGTCTGTTTCCCGTCGACGCACACTTAGTGATAGGAATAGTGAACCGAATCGCGAAGTCTGGCTAAAGTTGTATCAAATGGTGGGCGTTTTGATAATTATCATCAGCCTTTTAGCTGACTTCGGGCTTCACAGAGGAGAGGAACTTCAAAGTGAGAAAAATTCAAGAGGGGAGAACAGAAGAGTGATTCACAAATGTAAAAGAGGTAGACACAAAGGTAGAGAAAAGGGTAAGGTGCGTACTGTGGAAGTGGTCGAATACGCATTACAGTGTGATCATGGTAGTTTAAAGTCAGTAGTCAGTTGCCAGTTTATATACCTTTTTGCTGTAAGAGTATACGTTGCCCATGGAGGACCACATGGAGGTAAGTCTATTGCACACCCCGGTCTGGCTAAAGTAGATTTCACTCCCTACCAAGTGAATGTTGGTTAGTCTTAAAGTTTATGGATACTATTGCTGAATTGGCACTTCATCCTGAATAAAGGCAATAACTATACACATAAATGGTCTTGGATTTGGCCATGTTTATTGCAAAACTCTAAATCTGGTAGATTCAATTCCTTTTCATAACAATGCCTATATAAAAGTAGTTTCTCACGAAGATCACCAAGTGTTTAGATCTTTTACCTCACATCAATCTGTCAGCAAAATATAAAGTTCATATATCTATTTCCATTGGTCAATTATTAGTTGTGGATTATTGAAATAGTACATGGTTTGATCAATGCAAAAAAACATTAACGACTAGCGTGGAAAACTCGAGGCCAAGGTCTCCGTAATTAAGTGTTTAAAATTTTGAGAAAACACAGAGTAATGCCAAATGCAGTTTGATCTTCAATTGGAACCTCGTGTCATGAACTAATTATGGAGTGATTTTTAAAATGGGTTGTTATCTCCTCATCACTATACCTTTAATGGTTACCTACGTATATGTGGTAGCATGGATGTGATGGCGATTTTTCTCGCCTAAATGCGTTAAATTCCTCTCCTTTTGGTGGTTGACCTTGTGAGGTGAAGTGGGTCATTTGAGGCCGTCTAATGCTATTGGAAGTGTCATTTTTCTAACCGATGCCACTTAAATATGGATCTGGTTATAGCAATTTTATGCTTTAAATCCACCCTTGTCAGCAGTTCATTTGGGGGATATTGGGAGCCCAAGCGTTTGTAAAATTAAATCATTCAGAAGGAGGAGTGAATAGTGATTGCAGTACATTTACCGTTTTTACCATGGAAGAAAAGCCTTGGATCGGAAGATGACGTCATTTTTCCCCATTTGTCGGTGATAATTTTATAAAAAATTAGTCCAACATAATTAAATTTCGCCTCAGATCTATACTGAAGTTAGAGTAAAGTTCTCAGTGATTATCCGCAACCAGACGGAATGCGATCCATGTTACTCGAATACATTATCATTTTCCCAGGCAGGTACTTAAATAATCGCCTCTAACGACGCTTAATGTTTTCCTTGTACAGGGCGTTTTTGACACTATGGAAGCCTTAAGTGACCTTTAATTTGAAATTAAATAAAATTTTCCCTGTCATATATGGTTTATGACAAAGTAATGCTGTCTTCTAACAAATAGAAAGTAGTACTTGTAGTCAATTATTATTTTTCTAATTCTTTTAGAGAACACCCGTCTCTGGTTTGGTGTTCGGATATACCCACCCAAGCCTCATGAAGAAGTCTTCGACGAGATCACTCGCTATCTTCTGTGTCTCCAGCTTCGACAAGATCTACTTTCTGGCAGGTGCGTCTAGACATTCACGTACTTATTTAATTTACATTGACGTCAGTTATCTTATGGAAGCTGAAGTAGCACCGAATGCCTTCAGTGAGGTTAATTTAAGGTCTCGACGGTGTTTAGCTTTTCTTTTAAAGCTACCATCGACGCATTAGAGAGGAATGAGAGGGAAAAGGTGGACAGGTCTGGAAGAGGAGTAAGGAAGTGGGCAGTTAGACACCATGTGTCGGTGCTAAGCAATTTAAATTTTGCTTGCGACAGAGACCATTTTTTGAACACTTGGAATACTTACTTAGTTTTAGCTCCAAGAGGGGAATTAACATTTAAACTGTCAGTGGTTTTATCGAAGCTAAATAGCTTCACAAGTTTCATATATGTGGTGAAGAGCTAAAGAAGGGGGTAATAAGCCCTCAGAATGCCGATATAATAGTCATATTGAATGTTATAGTTTGGGGAAATTGTTACAGGGGTCATCAGCAAATAGCATTCTCTAGGCTATAAAAATTGTAGTTGAACTTTTCCTATTCTGCGTATCTTAATAGTAACAACTGCAGGTTTAACTGGATCAATTTACTATTTATATTAATTTCCGAAATTTCGGAATCTTGTCCTGGATGTGACTCCTAAAAGTACAACGTATAAATATTTTGTTAGCCTAACCCATAGGGAATAGATTACAATGGAATAGCTTTCCAAGCACCTAATGTATTAACATTCGTTTTATATTAAATGCTGTCGTGAACTTACCAAGGCGGCTGAGTTTTTAAGATAATTACCATTAAAATTTCACAATCATGTAATTTTATTTATGCTTGCTATAAATGGTATTTTCGACGTTGAAATAGTGTTTATAAAATGGTACTTTAGCGCTATCAACCACAACCTCTGATTGTGTTTGTGGTGTCCATATACTACTTATATAGTTTATTAGCCTATCGCCAGTAATTTATTAAATACTAAAAAGAATGCTTTACTTTAGGACATTGCAAAATATATTTTGCGGAAAATATTAAGTTGTGTTCGAAGAGATGGTTTTTTTAACAAATTAGTCTGTCTATGGGTGTTGGTAAAAAGTTGATTACATAATGTCAAGTTTATATTTAACCCTGGACTCCTTACAGAGGCTCGCAACGGCACCGGATTATCGGTCTTACTATACTGACTTGTATGGTGAGTACCTAATCAGTTCTTGCTCTGCATGAACTAAAGTCTTTGGCTGGCCCGAAAAGGCCTAGATTGTAACTAACAGAGTCATTTCGGAAGTGCTCTTGAGTGGTGCTTAGTATGCGCGTTTAATCAGGGGCGCTTTTGTATTGTGTAGGTTGGCATGTTCCTTCTTTACGCATACTCTTCTGGCCGCCTATTGGGCTCAATCTGAGCTTGGCGATTGGGATCTGCACGTGCTTAGCCCGAGTAATTCGACGGATTACCTAATCCCTCTCTGCCTAGCCGCACCAATATCTTCTTCTAGCCTTACTACACCTGAAGACGATTCTCTAAAAGTCGAAACTGTCACCGAAGAGGAACGACTTTGGTCAGGCTCTCGAACTGGCCCACCTCAGCCACCTCCACTGGTGCGAATAAGTGTGCCGTTTTTGCAACAAGTCAATCTGTTTCACCGATCCCTCAGGTTTGTTTTAGTTTGAGTCACATTTCATTTAAGCAAAGCTCTTTCAATCGTCTTGAAAGATGTTTAATTAAATCTGATTTTAATACTTGCTGTATTAAATCTAAAGTCAGTTCACCTGATTGATCGAACATGGTCAAACCCCATCGGAAAAAATTTATTGGAAGTATAGTAATATTTGCCGACTCTTTTCAGTAAAAAATATTCATTATTCTGTTATTATTACTGTCATATTAATATATCATTCGTCGTTTTTGCGTAACTTCTCCCTCCAAACTATTTCCCTTCCAGTTCTCACAAACTCACTCACGGTCAGTCTGAGAGGAAGCTGAGATGAGTCAAAATATTTATAATTGGCAAAAACGCAGAAATGGTGTCTCTTGAAATTAATAAATCGGAATGAAGTCGAAGATAGACTTAATTCGGTAAAAGAATCAAGTCAGCCGTTAACCTGTGATAATAATGCTACTTTAAAGAATAACACGAATATTGAATAAGAGGTTGCTTGATTTGATGACTGTTCATCATACATGCATGTCAGTAAAAAGCTAAACCCTATTTTAAACATTCGGTCATCTGATGAGTCCGACCTGAAAAGTCCTAACCTCGCTGTTTCGGTATATCTGTTAGTAAATTACATGAATTTCAATGTGAACTTAATTATCGCCTTTATTTTCTGTGCCAAGTGAAAGGTAATCCGTATTTTAAACTTTTACCAAGTCAGATTTATTTTGCTCTTCTGTTAATACTTGCAAAATAAATATCTGATAAGTACAAAAAATTGCTGTTGTCACTTTTTAATAGCAAAACAACGTTCAAATATTCATTGCTATTTGTTTAATTTTAGAGGTTTAGTTCCCTTAAGAGCTGATATCCTCTTCCTTCAGATCGCGCGGAAACTGCCCACCTATGGTATCGATTTTCATAGAATACAGGTACTTTCTTCGTTACCTATTTGCCAATTTTTTATAACTACTGAATGACCTGATTAGAGGTTAATAATTTTGTCTGATCGATCGACCTGTTTTGTTTAAATCAATCATACTAATTTAACATGTACGCTGACCTTTTAAACAAATATGCATATACTACTATTTACTAATTTTACATTTCAGTAGTTAAAGCATTTTCGAATTGTTTTAACTTCGATAAGGGATTATTAAAATTCTGAAGCATTTAAATTACTTTCAGAATCCAACCCGTTCTACTGTCCACGTAAATCTCACAAAACGTCTTTCCAAGGAGACATCAACGTTCCAAAGATCTCAAAGCCTACGTCTAAAATCTACAAACTTCTCTAACAAAACGAAGAACCGTCTCAGTTTATCACCTCATAATTTTTCAGATTCCAGATCCTCTAATCATTTTCCAGCCTTCAGTGAGTTTACCTAAGTATTTTCTACTTTTTGTTAATAAATTTCGCTCTTGTTTGAAAAAAGTGCTTGTTTGTGCTCGCATCTGTTTTCCAAATTCATTTATCTCCTATTTCCAATCGATTAAAGAGACTTCACATAAGAAGGGGGGATATTTGCTAAATGGTGGTCGATTATTATCTTTTGATATATTCGATAAGTAAATTGTTGGTATTGATATTAATAATATCGGTGTAAGTTTTGCGGTTCACTTAAGTAATCGGATATGAGAGTGAGGGAGATTTGCGATGGTTGGTTTTGAATATATTTTATTTTTATTTACTTATTATAAGTTAGAACTTGGTGATGTGCACTTGTCATGCGTTCAGCGGTACCGATGAGTCAGGTACAAGTTAATGGGACCGTATGCCCGCATTTTATTTAGCTCATGGGGTTTCCTTTACGTATTGTAACATTAGAACCGCTGACTGCTGTGTTCATATGCAAATGGTCCATACTTCGTTAAAATTTGACCTTCTCAATCGAGGTAAAGTGCCTCGACAGGTTCGAAAGCGAATAAGCCTAGTTAATCTTGGTTAATCTAATTTAATTTTCTTCATTTAATAGGCTCCACTGGACTTAGCAATGGATGCCATTCCGGTCATCAGTATCCATTCTTTCTGGGTGTATTTCACGGTGGAATTTATATCTACCGAGGTCGTCTACGCTTGGAATATCATCCGTGGTCAGCAATCGTAAAAATGGCCTATCGAAGAGCCTCGTTTCGTCTTTGTCTTCGACTTGCTAATTCAGAGGTAGAATAACTTCTAATGATAGAAATTTCCTTTTCAGAGCGAACCATTTTGATAAACGTCTTTGGTTTTCATTTACTTTACAGAAAGATGGTCTGGTTCAAATATTGAAATGCGATTGTGGAACCACGGCTCTGGCTAAGCGAATCTATAGGTCCTGTGTTGATCATCATGCTCTCTTTCGGTGAGTTAGAATTCATTGTCATGGGATATCTAATTTATACATTTGATCAACTGTCTTTTCTGTGTCCTCTTTTCCCTCTCAATAAAGCATAATTGGTAAGTCTCTATTTTCCATATGCTAAAACGTTATGTAACTTTTGGAAAAGTTAGTCGTTCTCTTCTATTCACCTCTAAATTTGGCATTATGGAACATCCGGGCCCTTGGTCGTTCTGGATGAGGCATTACAATTTCGTGGTCAATTAAGTTGAAGCAGCATCTTCTTAGTGCTTATACTGCTAACTAGTTCGTCTGCACTGCAAAATAGCTGAATATTAGTTCGGCTATTGGCTCGTTTCTTTATGACTCAGTGTACACACGTTTGGCGTCAGAGCAAAGAGATCAAACGCGTTTATCTTGTGGTTGAAATGGCTTGCCCACCACTTAAAATTTGATTAACTTAGTTTTAGTATGAAGTAGACATTGGCTATCTGAAATGAAGTGAAAAGAGCTGTGGGTAAAAATATAGAAAGGAAGATACGCTTATCAAACTAATAACGCGTTGAAACCTTGAGAAGTGAAAATCATTGATCATTCGTAAATCTGCTTTGAGGATTTTTTACCTCGCATGCATTGAAAACTAACGCTTTTCAGAGCAAGGTGGTCCTTTTTAGCATCTCATTGAGAAAAGCTTTTCACATTTCTACTTTGGATTAAATATCTTACATTTTCCACTCATTTGGTGAAGTTGGCCATTTAATACATTACCGGATATTTTGAAGGCATCAACGAAACCTTTTGATGATTAATCATTCAGGATTCAGTATAATAATTCATTTGAAATTACACAGATTTAAGACAGTTCATTTTAATCCAAATTATTGCTACATAGGTACTTGGCAAGCACAATTCTTTTGCATTCATAGGATTTTGAAATAGAACGTTTTTAAAACCAATCACTACTGTATTGACAACATCTAACTAACCCAACGCCACGCTAACAAATCATCAGGCCAAGAATAACAAAAAAATATTGTTTTGACGATTAATCATTTATCAAAAGTATATAATAATTTATATCGATTAACCAATAATTACAGCAGTGACGAGCTTTCCCCCTAGCCGCGGACATGATCAAACAATAATTGATAATTCAACATTTATTTATTTCAAATGGCAGGCGTTTTGGTAGATATCATTAGCCATTTAGCTGACTTCGGGCTTCACCGAGGGAAGGTTCATCAAAGTAGCAGTAAGTCGAGGGGTGGGGAACAGAAGAGCGAATCACAGATGTAAAAGAGACAGACAGACACAAAGGTAGAGAAAAAGGTAAAGTGAGTACTATGAAAGGGGTCGAATATGACAACCAGGGGGGTTGTGGTAGTTTGAAGTCAGAAGTCAAATGCCGGTTTATAGACTTTTTTGCCGTATGAGTATACGTTGCTCAGGGTGCACCACGTGGAGGTAAGTCTATCGCACACCCCTGATAATTCAACGTAGAATAACGATGTCCACGTTACCAGGGTTTATGGAAAATATTAGATTAGTGATTCAAAAGAAGATGGAACTTCATTTTTTACACAAAATTATTTCCTTTCCTGTCATTCTTTTATTCTTCCAGTCTGTTTTAACAGTCTTAGAACGCAGTCTTGTTAGAGAGTTATTCACTGATTGAGGTTAACATATACATCTGTTCAGTAGGGGATCATACTGTTGGTAGCTGTCCTTTTAATAATTCGGTTCCCTAAGTGATAAGCCATCTACAATCGACGAAATACCTCAATACTATTATGAGACCACATCTGACCCTAACGTATACCCTTTTCAATATCCATTTCAGCTTACGTCGACTGGAGGTTGGTGAGAGAACCACTCCTTGGAGCTCAATACGTGAGCCCTTTCCATTCGCAACAGGCACTCGACTTCGACGCTTGCACTTCTCAGGCCCCCATTCTCCTTCCGGGCCCTCTTCAGCCTCAGTGTCCACAGCCACAGCACCCCCACATCTTATGAGTAGTATAGCTGTCTGTACGAGAAATCCTCCTACTCTTATTCGCGCCTCAACGCCATTACTTGAAGCTAGGTCTCGTCCTTTGAGTGAGCCTGATGTGAGAGCTCCTGATCTTCATGGTAAGCATTGTTTTAGGGACGTTATTCTGGCATTTAGCTAGTGTATTCAAGCTAAAATCTGAATAGAAGGCATATTCCTTTGAATAGTGCATTTACTACCCATAGTTAGCAGTCGAGATCTTCATTGTACTAATAATTTGTACGCCGTTACCGTAGTAGTACTGTCAGTGTCCGATATCTATTGACTTTGGGCTCTTCTTAGTACGCCAAGTGGACTGATTTTGTTATTCCTCTGTTACATAGCCTCGCTAATTGTGATAGTGAGAGGGGGGGGATGGATCTTTCTCGAAAGTCTTACAGTCAGGCTTTAACGAAGAAGTTGTCGCCTATATTTTTTGGAAAGGTTTTTTCCTGGTTTCTTTGCAGTTCTCAGTTGGCAAGGCAAATCAGAACGTGAACGTACGCATTTTATGTCAAAGACGAATAGATTAGGAAGTCTTTGATAGAGTTATTTTGGCCAAAATGGTTAACAATGTCGATTCCTGTCCCTAAAAGCACGAATTTTCCAACTTTAGCAGTTTTGTGAATACGGTTAAGAGCAAAAAGGGAAAGTAATACTTTTGCACTATAGACATCAACATCGTTTCGCAGACACTATGATTAATGGGAGGGGGAGGGGGTGTGTGATAGACTTACCTCCACGGGGTGCACCCTGGGCAACGTGTACTCATGCGACAAATAAGTTTATAAACCGGAAGTTGACTTCTGACTCCAAACTGCCATGGCCCGACTGCAAGTCATGTTCGACCCCTACCACAGTACTCATCGTACCCTTTGTGAGCCTTTGTGTTTGTCTGTGAATCACTCTTCTGTTCTCCTCTCAAATTTATCTCTCTCCTCCTCCTCCTCCCCTCTGTGAAACCCGAAGTTAACTAAAGGGCTAATGATAACTATCAAAATACCTGCCATTTGAAATAAATAAATGCGTAATGGGGACTTCCACTGTCGTGTTTCTTTTACAGTACCAGGGTGGTTGAAACGACACTTAGCCGAATGTTACTTTCAAAAATGAAATAATCCGAATCTTTATACCTCTGAACTATTTCATACCTGCCTTCTTGTAACATTTTGGATCTAATCCAATCTTTGAAGATGGATGGGTGCAAATCTTGGAAGATTTTGGTTCCTACTAGTATAATTTTATCTGTGTGTAGAAGCGTCTCAAGATCACGGAGCAGTCTCTGAAGCCGTCACATTATCTGCCAGACAAGGGAGTAGCCGATTTGTCCGATCAGCCCATAAGCTCTTCTCGCGTATTTTTACTCGCAAATCAACAAGGCGTCATAAGCGTGGTGTACCTGGCCACCATCTACACGCTTCCCTCTCCGACCAAGGTCTTCAACAAAACGTTGATCCTGATGACCCGAGCACTGATATTGGTGGGCTAATTCTGGCTGATGGGTTCGAGTCTACATCTTTATCTACTGCAACTGCACCCTCCACATCTCTCTCAATATCACCTTTCTATACTCCCTCGGAGTGGAATCGACCTCCACTCCCTGGACCCCTGTGGCGAATGAGCTCGGTTGATGCGACTCCAGGAATACAATTCGAGCCATCTGGTGGTCTTGTGAGTTTATCGACAGTTTCTACTTAAATGGCATTATCAAGAGCAAATGTTCTCAACGATTGGTTAGAAATTTAGCCTCGCCGAAGTAGTGTCATTAGAACTAGTTTGAGTGGACGCTTCTTGATTAAATGAAATGAGGTTGAATCGTCTCTAGTCCTGTTGTTTGGTCAGTTTATGAGAATGGGAACTACACGATTTATAATCCTCGCATCATTAGTTTTATACTAACAGCTGAGTTAAATTTAAAAGTGCCTGCCTATATCTATTTGATCTAACAAGTCTAACTCGTAGTGATTTATAATTTTTCGAAAGTTTCGTTCATTGCATGATATTATTAGTTGACTATTTAAATCAAATTTTCAGTAGCACATTTTATCCTATGCATTTCCATACTCTTGTAGACAGTTTCACGAGATGGGCGACTAGTAGTCTACCAAGATGTGGCTGATAAATCTCCCTCCATGGAATGGAGGGGCTGTCGAGCCACATGGGGAGTTTCAGAGAATCCAAATTCTCCGGCAGGTGCTTCTTCATTTGGCCCTCGACGACTCTTTTTTGAAGTGCGTCTTAATGGAAATGAGCCAGTCCGAGTTGGGTGGGCTACTGAAGTGAGTCCTGTGTTCTTTCTAATGGAAAATTAATTTATTTTCAATGTTCTCGAATCTTTTTAGAAGCGATGAATAGTATACAGTATGTTTTAAATTCACTCTGATTGAGTCTTGATATACCATCATTAGAGCGGTCATAAAAGCCGTTATTAACTTTTGAAAGGATGGGTAAATTTGAACACGATGGACATTTGAAATGTGAATTTTATCTGCTATTACTACTTGAAGCTATTTATTAAATACAAAGAGTTAGAAATTCAGAGGGTTGAGAGGGTGTGAGATTGCTGGTAAACGATATACAGATTGGCGGATGCGGTGCTCTATAAATATTTACTTAATACATTTGACACATGCCTTTTGGTAAAATGGAGACAACACGGGGGACGTACGAATTAGGATTTGTAGGCTTCGCCTTAACAGGAGTGGTTTGTGACTAGATGTGACTGAGCTTGGTGTTGTCTGTAGTCTTGAATTAGTGCAAATTGATGCACATTCAATATTCTATTTAGAAACAGATAATCAATGTGAGTATGGTGATCAGCTACAGTAGGTTAATTCATAGTGAAACGTCGATAAATCAATTGACTGCTTTTTGACCTGCATGAAGATCGATGCAAATGCGAACACCTGTGAATGGACATAACAATTGATACGAACATGAGTGAACAAAAATGCTTTCAGATGCGTTGATATTTAATTGAAATTCGAATTAAATAGTTACGTCGCTTCACTCGCATTTAGGATCAAAAGTATTGAAAACAAATTCCGTTAGTCATTTTTCACTATTAAAAGAATAACATACCAGTGATAAATGACAGCCTCTACTAAATTACATCTCTAAAACTCCAAAGACTGAAATGTCATTATATCTCAATCTGTTAAAATTAGGAAATTTGATTTCTCCTGCTGTTAGACGAAGTTAAAATAAATGGTTTATGCAACTTTGGTTTACGATAATGCCGAAAACTCAAAAATTTTGCTTTTAAGAATCAATATCCGATTGTTTTAACCGAACTGAAATTCCCGAGCCAAGAGTGTCTCCTGAAGAAAGCTGTATAAAGTACGATTGAGCTTAAGCACAAATCAGCTTCATTGCCAGGTTCTAGAAATTTCAGCATCAACATCCCCTTTTATCGGCACATTTTGAATGAAAGACCTTACACCACCTGGCACGACCTAGTAATTTAATGAACTTCGTAATTCATCTCCTATTTACCATAGTTTGTGTTTAATTCTTAAACTCCATTTAATTAAACATACGAACTAATCATATAATTATTGTAAGTACAGAACGCCAATCAAATACTTGGTGAAGATTCTCGGGGATTCGCCTACCAAACATCACCAATTACTCCAGCTCTGAATGAAGACATTCTTAATGAGGATTGGTTCAATATAACTTCTGGTAGAGAAATCGACAAAAATGGCCAATTGCATCATGGTGCTCTGGTTATTGGTGGAGCCAGTGTTGATGTGGTTGGTTCATGTCAGGGCGATGTTATTGGCTGTTACCTTGATCTCGACTCTCGTCTTGCTCACTGGACGAAAAATGGTGTGACGTCTGCTGATATGACTATTTCGATCGCCCGTTTTCCCCCCAGAACTGTCTTCTTTCCTGCTTGCGCAATTCGAGTAGGTCTATCATTATACTTCCTAATTGCCGATTTTCTAGAACTCCTCTGTTACATTTAATTTTGGCGACACGCCATTCGCATATGGACCAATGCTTGTGACAGGAGAATATTCAAATTCCAATTGGTTGCCATTGGCTTCAACTAGTCTAATTGCGGAGATTGCTGGTTGTTCTCATAGTAGTCCAACAGGAGCCAATCAACTACCGATTCGACTCACACCCAATCCGCATACCGGATGGAATCTCATTTCAACAAATAGCTCGGGTGCAATTCTATCTCCTGATAAGCTTTGTGTTCGAGCAATTCTTCACGCTGGTTGGCAGGTGGGGAACACATTTTACTGAATTCCGCTTTGCTTACTTGGACAGTTCATAGGACTTAAGGAATAGTTTTGAAGATATGTTTCGTTTTAATATAAATCCCTCTATTATTTGTCTTAAAATTTGTTTCGAACTGCTGCTATTCTTACTCAGGTTGCCGAAACTTAAATTCCTTAGCATTCAGGTTTTCCATGTACATAAATAATCGCCTGTTGGATTAGTTACCTAATGCTCGATGACGGAAAGCCTTCATTCGGTCTTAATCGGAAGTGCTCTTCCCTTGCTAGACCCTCCACGCATCTGATTTCATCATGCCATGGTCGGAATGCGTATCCAATAAGAAGCTACCATTTCAATCCAAATTACAAGCTCCCAGCGTCTACTTCGAGGTACACCTCTTGGAATCTCTTATCACAACTCCCGGAGCTGGTGTATTTTTCGGCTTCTCCACCTTATCCAATTGTACTTCTCCGCCTGTTTCCCCTATGGGATCTGACAGACTTGACACGTTCGGCATAGTCTTCGAACAAAACGCCTCAAGTAATCAGACATGTCTTGTCCATGCTGGTGTTAAGCGGGCTTATGGAAAGGTAAGTGCGAGTGTAATGCTACTGGTTTGATTTCGGCAGTTTATCTGGTATCAATTTTCTTTCAGGCTCTTCATCGCGGCGATGTTGTGGGTTGTGTCCTCAACCCCCAAAGTGGTTTGGTCTTTTGGTCAATTAATGGGGAGTATTTGGGGCATATTGTACAGATATGTGTGGCGCAACAGCACGCTGTGAACGGAAATGCGTCAACGGCAGCTGATGATGTGATTAGCATCCCACTGGCCCCCGGACAACATGCCCTTGTCTTCACCCCTGTCTTCAGTTTAGCCAACACTTCGATTGAAGTGAACTTCGGTGATGGAGCTGTGCCATTGAAGCATGTGAACAAGGTATGCCGATTATATTTTCTTCAATAAATGATCTGCAAACAGCGAATTTATATCTATTTTTAAACGAAGTATATATTGTGGGAGTTTTCCATTTCGAAGAATTGCTAGGAGGAGATTAGAATACTGGTTTGTTTTTAAGTATTACTTTGAATCAGCTACTAATTCGGGTGAGAAGCTCATCACCCTCCTCTCTCAGCACCCATTTGCGTTTGTCTGCATGTGATGACTGCGTAATAAAGAATTACAAACTTCCTCGCAACTGCTTCCTTAAAACAGCAACTTCTTGACACGGCCTACTTGTCTAAGGTTTATATTTGTCTCCCTACGATATGCTCTCGTTATATTCTTCTGGGTTTTATACAAATAGTTCCTAATATGTCACAGACATCGTAATGTGCAAAACTACAAAACATCCCACAGGTTACAATAGAACCCTCACATCTTTTTATGATACTCGGAGTTGAAGTAGATCTGTAGTTTCCTCAGTTTAGTGAAGTATTACAAGTATCGCCAAGTTTGGGCAGTGCAGACGTTGGTCTGTACTCTGGATTCTCTCAGTAGCTTCTTTAAACCCCCTACATTTAGAGTTGTTCGGACATTGAGTTTATACTTCCTGCAATGAAAATCATCAAGACTTCTTGACAATTTGATTCCATTCGTGTTTAACTTACTGTTAGAAGCTTTTTTTACTTTTACCTTTTTCGGTTAGCTCCATTCTTTGAGTTTGTCCTATATTTGGTTGACACTACAATAGAAGCATTCAAAGTAGACTGGTGTCAAACATTAAAAGCAATTTCTGAGCGTTCTACGTTTTTTATCCTGTTTATAATAGCAAGCTGCAATACAGTAATTAGTAGAGTATTAAAGAAAGCTCTGTCATTTACTTATGCTTCTAGTTGATTCGTTTTGTTTATTTCAGCACACCAACTGCATCCCATTGTGCCATTACCGACGATTACTCGAAGGCGATTTATTTTGCTTGAACCTTCTACACCAGCTGCCTCTCCCGCCTTCATTGCTGAATTCAAAATCGGATTCAGAAAAGAAGGCGAAGCCCCTGAACCACACTAACGGTGCCAATCCGGCTCCTCTACGCCATCCGCACTCATTTGCTCAATGTCGAGATACTACCAACTACAAGAATGAATTCACAGTGGTTCACAAATCAGCCTCATGCAACTCCGCACCTACGCCTACTACCATGGTAATTTTTTTGAAAGGAAAAATGTTATCAAATTGTGAGATTGGTCGAAACTTTCTACGAAAATGTAGTTTAAGTTTCCTTAAAGGTATGGTGATGAAAAAAGATTAAGTAAACTATTACCACGACTTCGACGATTTCGGAAGGCAACGACGTCAGAGTGTGCCCGTAAATTTAGGTTTACATGAAATGGGGATAAGGCATCAACCGCATAACTAGAAACTGGGAAGTAATTGGGTTTCTATAGTGGATTTATTACCGTAAATTTTTTTCCAAGGGGAGATTGGATGAAAAGCGTACAGGCGCATCACAATGCATTAAAGCTTACCAGAGCTAGCGGTGGCAATCACCTCTCTGGAATGCGCCTCCTTCTCTCTTCCACAACAACATGGGGTTGTGGTCGAGTGGATCTTGTCTTCCACCACATATTGTCGTGGACGAATCGATATACAACTTGAAGAAAGAGTAATGAAACATGGACAGAGCAGAGTGGAACCTAATTAGGCCTAAGCGATTAGTGGGTGTTAATACAATGGTTTATAATTGATAAGAAACAAGGTGGTAATTAACCTATTTCTGTCATTAGGGCTGCTCATTCGTTTCGGGTATAAGTGTAAGACTTGGCAGTAAGCCGTTATGAATGGTCATATCAAATTTAAGTATTTATCTAATATGTGCTAATTACTTATCGCTTGATTTAAGGAGTTTTAGCTGAAGCGGTTTTCTGATTTAGATTTTTATTTGATATTCATGAATTATTATTATTTATTTCCAATATGTAAACCTGTTTGTTGTATTACGTGTCGGATTTACACATGATTAAAAGCTTGTTTGTGGATGCATAGTAATTCGTTTGTTACCTGGATTTTAGAATCTCTTAGTCTCCTCTGATATCATGGACGCCCTCCGAATTCTGCGGTCTCGAATTCCCCTAGTTCCCGTAAAGACCAGCTTCTGGGGTCGAGAATCCACCGATTTGGCGTCACCTCGCCGTCCAATCACATCGCCAACCTTTGCAGCACCTTGGTCGAAAGACAATCAAATCTTGCCCATTGTTCGGACCCACCGTGTCGCAGTCTCAACTCTACCTCCAAATGCAGCAACCACAGCAAGTCAACTTTTGGAAACAGAGATCGACACGAATTGCTTGGACAGTACTTTAACTGGTATGTGGTACTTAATTTATTAAACAAACAGTTAGGCCAACGGATTATATTCGTGTTGTTTTCTCAATAGCTATGGCCCTTGCTCTTGGCAGTAGTTTGCGTAGGTCAGCTTCAGATAGCATGCACAAAGCTCTCATTCGTCATCTTTGTGGCCAGTCACAACAAAGCAGTGCATCTGCAGCCAACCAATCCTCTTCGTCGTCATTAATTGAGGTAAGACTACTCATTCATAAACCAACTCGAGCAGTCCTTTTGATATTATATTTTCATTTAATATTTTTCCCCATTTTCAGCGACGTATGTCACAAATTCCCCTGGTACCTACCAAAATTGTACACACGAGAGCGTCTTATGCTAATGAGTATGTACCTGTTCTGTCACACCAAACCGAGACCTTCGAAAACTTGACCGATAACTCGAATAAAATCCGAACTAATGTGAGTCATGTTTCCTGAATACTGCTTTTATTGGTAATCGTAATTATTAACAATAAGGTCCCCAAGTTTAAGCATGTGATGTTATCTTAATTTCTATCTCTAGAAACATTATCTGCCATGACTAAATCAGGCTATTAGATATTTCCTTTCAAAACAAATTGACCTAACCGAGGAGGAAAAGGAAGCAACTTCCCTTCCCGAATGAGAAGGGCATAAATTGAGTAAAATTGTGCATATATTTGGCCAGCGGAGGACATTTGAAACTGGCAAGGAATAAAGGTTTGTGCTAGGCAGTTGTAAATGGGGTTGTGATAAAGAGGACAAAATGATTGCGCTATTTTCTGCTCTACCTGATAAAAAACAGTAAAATAATCAATTGGCACTTAAGATGGGATTTGTGTGTTATCCTTGTTTATGAGCTATTCTGAAGTAATTATAAATCCTTCCTTTTAACCTTTAATTATCGTAATTTTGAATTTTAACTGAATGATTGTAACCACTATGTTTCTGTTCTTATTTCAGTTAGAAGCGGGTGATGACACAATATCCAGGCGTCGCTACATCACAGATCTAACATTGCCACAATCAATAGCTGAAGACGACCTTTCAATTAGTAGCCCCAAGTTAACCGAAGCCAATTGATTTCTACTAAATGTAAAACTTCTCCTTTTCAGGTTGTGATTTGAAAACTAAGTCGTTTCTTCCTCTTTTCCCTACTCTTCTACTTAGCTCTTCTTTCACATACCCCTGTATAAATGCGCTCTCCAACCTTTGCTATCATATAGGTGCCTCCAAATGCTTCATTTATTGTAAGAATAGGAGTAAGAAAATAACAACGGTACCTTTGATTTTATTTAAAGTAAATACGAGATATTGTTTTACAAAGCTGAAAATTTATAAAAAAATGATCTCTAAGAGGGAAGATCTAAAAGACTTTGGAACTTGGTTTTCAAAATATTAAGTAGGCCTATAGATCCATTACTTAAAGATAGTTTTCCGCACCTAGTAAGATCCAGTCGATGAATAATGTCGACAGTTTTGCCGATAGTTTCGATGAGTTCTTTACCCATTTCCAACTTTCGTTTATAGCAATTTAGTAGAGGATAGACAATAAAGTACAACCTTGGGAAAGATTCGTTGATGAAACTCACTTCTTCTGCACTTGTCAAGATTTTGCAGCAAAGAATTAATAAGTGTCTACAGAGAAAATTCGCCAAATTTGGAAAGTGTAAGTCTTCTTTTTTTGTAAAGGACTGTAAATAAACAGACAGAAAGGCTTTTATTGGGTGTAACCAACAAAAGTATGTGTCATCTTGCCTAAAATTACATGTAAGTTCAAGAGTTGCTGCAATGAACTTTCCTATTTCGGAAGTTGACTGTTCATTTAAATCAAGTTTGGCTGATAATTCACCGGCTAACCTCATTGCATCATTCGCCTCCTTGTGCAATTGTGCTGCATTACGTAATAAATCAGTTTCTTCTTGCGTTTCGCCACAAGTCGTTGTCCAAACGAGTGATTGAAAAACAAGTGTAATACCGGGTACGATTAAGCATTCTGTAATCGAATCGGATGTATCCAATAACCCACGAAAGCCAATTCTCGTTGACGCGACGGTTGTCATCAATTGGGAGAAAATTCCTGATATTTCAAAATTATAATCTTCATGTGAGTGAATTATTTGGCTGAATTCTCCCGACGATGGAGGTAATGAATTCCTCAACCTAGATGCCTGATAGTATGATTTTTCTTTGTATATTTCGTAAAATTCATGTGCGCTTTGCAGTTGATTAACAAAAACTTCAACATTTAAATTAGATGGGCAGACCTTGGCAACTGATAGAGCAACACTTGTCTTTAAAACCTGAGCAAATAATGCAGCTTTTATAAATGACCCCGCGGTGTTAGGATATTCCATCATAAAATCCACAAATGCAAGGTTATGAATAAACAATGAATCGACATTTTAAAACAAACTGCATCAATATTCGTATTCGGAGATTCAAAAATATCTAATAAAAATATTTCAGTATGTAACTTTTTATTTAAAATAAAAGTAAAACATTTATTGGATTTTATAAACACAAACTGATAATTTATTGTCTGTTTACAAAGATTATAAACAACAAATGAAATGAATTCCTTTTGAGGTTCCAAAAATAATCTTACTGGTCTTGCGTAAGATTTTGACAGGCAGCCATTGTAAAAGTCTGGGATCGTTTATTATTGATAAATTATAAATTTTGCAATATTTAACCGTAATCTACTTAATTGCAGGGCTACCTAAGGTATATTAGACCCTTTGGGTGAACATCCAGATCGAAAATTTAAACCCAATACTTGAGTTAATTCAAACGATTTTACCCTTATTGTCTTATCAGGGTTAGTAATATGTTATATTTTGTTCAAAGAATTCAATCTCGAAGACTCTCGAACAACAAATAATTGATTTTGCTGAAAAACAAAGTCACACAGAAAGTACAAATTAGGACCGATGAATTTAATCGATAGAGTATAAACGAGATTAAAAAGTTTCATAAATTATTGTATCTGAAATGGAACAAACATATATTTCTTAATTAAAAAACATTTTTGGTCTTAAAATGTTTAAAACTGAAGTCGGTTAAAAACTATTTGAAACATAGTGAAATGATTTTATCAGAAATGAAATATTTAAGTGTTTCTGGGTCCTCAAATCCCACGCAACGAGCAGAAGGCTACTAAGATCCTTATCGTTCGCAATCCAAACGGAAATATTAGGCTTATAGAGAGTCTGGATGGATTTGTCTCAGCAGGCAGGGCACAAAATATTTGCTGTAGGAGCAATATAAACCAAATAATTCTCAATTAAAGATGTTTACTCCATTAGATACTAGGGCCTGTTACATAAGCACTATAGGTTCGGAAATGTTTGCACAACTCTAGTTGCATTACAAAAAATTTTCATGATATACTACAGGTGTACCATTAGGGTTTCACGAACAAAAATTTATGAAATAACTAAAAAATGAACTCGGAGGTCGTTAGTTGAAAAATCGAAAATAAGATATTCATTGTTAGGTTATCTTCTGTTGGCAAGACCTTAGGTTTCTCGGTTGGGGAAGAGAGGGGGGGGGGGGTCGAGAAAATTAGGATACGTTATGAAATACGATATAAAGTTTCGATTTTAACATTAGTACGTTTAAATTACTAATACCTGCCAACTTCAATTAAATAAAACATTACCTTACAGGTGAATTGGAATGGTTATAACGTGAATGCTTGACATCAAGTATTTAAAATATATTTGGAATTAAGTTATATTACGTCAGTATTTAAAAGTCGTGCAATACGTGAATTCACATCTTAATGCGAATTTTTCTGAAGACATTAAGTAAAAAAGTTTGATTCTTAACTTTCCTAGTATGTTTTAAAACTAAAAAGATATTCTTCCATTTTTATATTTGCAATTGTGGGGTGTGCGATAGACTTACCTCCACGTGGTGCACCCTGGGCAACGTATACTCATACGGCAAAAAAGTCTATAAACTGGCAGTTGACTTCTCACTTCAAACTACCATGACTCCACCGTATGTCATATTTGACCACTTTCACAGTACTCACCTCACCTTTTTCCACTTTTACATCTATAAATAAATAAATAAATATTTGCAATTGTTGGACAACTGACAGTATTGCTGAATAGCATTAGCATAAGGGAATAAATTAAATTTGATAAAATTTGATTTAAGTTAGCAGGTTTTGTCAAATTTACTCCCCAAAAATTCTGCCAAATTAAGAATATACTCTTTTAAAAGCTAGACACGTCAATATAAAATCATACATTCCATTAATAAAATTTCAAATAAATGATAAAGCTGCAAATTTAAATTAATTTGATGGATTTAATTAACATATATAAAAAATTTAAATATGTCGTGTTTGAACCTATAACCTTGTTTGACACTGCTTTGGTTTCGGTTCTCTGGCCAGTGTTAATAGTAAGGATGGCCCTTAAGAGGATTTCAAAGGTAAGTTCTGTTTCTGCATATTATTCTTCCTTAAATGTAAGGAATTATATGACTTGGGCCGTGATCCACCAGCGCAATGCTCCGCTGGCCCCGTAGGAGAGGACAGTAAGCATATCTCTTTCGTTATTTAATACTTTTTTTAGTGTTCCACTGGCAAGCGACAATTATGGGTCCCGTAAGGCTCTTAGTTTTTGATATTAACTGTTCCCTTGCAGTCAGACAGTCCTTTTGAAGGAGGAGTATTCTTCCTCGACATCCACTTTCCTACAGACTATCCGTTCAAGCCACCTAAGGTATGCAGTTGTTTTTCTTTATTGCCTATGGCCTTAGATTACATTCACAACACGTATATATCATCCAAATATAAATTCTAATGGGAATATATGCTTGGATATTCTAAGGAATCAGTGGTCACCTGCGCTTACAATATCAAAAGGTACCTTGTTTGTTGCCTCTCATTCGTTTTAGTGTTACTGTCGATATGCTCCTTATTAACCGATCCAAACCCGGATGATCCTCTGAGCCCTGATATCGCTCGTACTTATAAAACAGATCGTCAGAAATATGACAAGACTGCTAAAGAATGGACGCAGAAGTACGCAATGTAGAAAAAAGCTTTTTGGCCTGTGCATTGTGCAACTGACGTTTCCTTTAAATTTAGAAGTCTTGCTATATATTGATTTCTTGTGTGGCTTTTGATCGCGACCTGAAAAAAACGTTTTATGTTTTTTTGCTAGTTTTACAAGTTAGTTTAAATACTGCTTCTAGAGTCCATAAACTCATTCTTGGCTCGATATAAGCCTTTTATCAGTCAGCTGAGTGGCACATTTTAGTTAACTTAATTATTTTTATTCACACGGATTGAACTGTGTTAATCGCTATTAGTGTTTCAGCTTTAATCTAACATCATTCGACCACAATTGAAGACCTTAAATGTTTTACTCTCAATGTAGATAGTTGTTCTATGTTTTCCTTCTGTAGTTTCAATTTGGTCGTCTCTATGAATTTATTTCGTTTTATGGAGAATGGTTTTTTTTTGCTTACGCTATTCTTTAAATCAGCTGACTGCTATTCATAGTTGCCTTTTAGCGTTTAAAAAGTGCGCGTAAGAGATATTGGGAGGCTCTGCTAACAGTGGTAGAATTTTCCATCGATTGATGCCACGGCCTCGGCTGCGCTTAAAGCAACAGAAGCACGTCGCTGCATCTTGCCGCCAATAGTCTTGTCGTCCTATCACGTGGTTCTATAGCGTTGCGCGCATGCGCCTAACAATTTGTTTCGTTGTGTTTGCTATGAATTAAGCATTGTATCCGAAGCATGCTTCCGAATTTTTCTTTTTGGAGTGTTACGTTGGTCATAAGGAAGAAGTTTATATAAATTCCAATGCTTTCAGTTTCTTAACTGTGCCCTATTTATGCACGCCTCACTTAGCTTCGATTTTCCTTACGATGTAGGAGGTCATTTTGTGGCCGAGCCACGTTTTCAGCTAAACGTTTGTTACTTTACTGTCTTTGACGTTTGTGATGTTTCCCACGTGGAAACTGTCAATATTCTCTTGATTTGTGTACCCTTGATGTTTGATCGGTTTTTTAGTTCGTTGCTTTTACGCTACCTTATTGTCATTGTTTTCTGGATTCTTGTTATGTTTTCTCATTATTTGGATTGTGTAAGCATAGGTTTTCAGTATCATTACTTTCTGTCGAATACCCTTGTGCTGGCACTTACTTTATTGACGGCAATATATGAGTGTTTTCAGCTCTTATATCTAACATCAAGTATTTTGGTCCTTGCACTACGCCTAATTTTTTCATTTATTTGTCAGACTAGAGTTTTGCCAAAAAATAACGATCTAGTTTATTGAAGAAATTTAATCATTTCATATATTTCTACTTGTGTCGTGCCTGATTCGTTTATTCTAGATTTTTAATGGTGTGCATATATAAGCTTTATTCAGGTTTTATTTAGTCGCCTATTCTAAAGTAACATCGTGTCGAAATTTTATGTGCAAAAACGCGTTAACTAAGAGGGTTTTGGGGGTTTATTAGATAGCCACGATGATTGACAATTTCTTATGTTTTGTTTTTCCACCTTTCTCCGTTAAATTAGAAAATGTTTTTTTGTATGTTATTATTGAAAAAATCATATTTATTAGTGTTTTTCACGTTAGTTGACTTGGTCTATAGCTATGGCACAGCCACGCAATCTTGTGAAATTGTAGTGTAGTCATTTTTCGAATAACAAACGGGTGTAAATTTATTCATGTAAGTGGAGGGAAAAATCCCTATTCTTTAGTACTGTTGTCTAATGTAACTTTACATCATGAAGCTTCCCTAAAGTAAATTTTGTGAATGTAACATTGTCGAAGTTGGAGATAGTAGGACAGGCTTGGATGGTCCTCAAGATATCACTGAAACGGGAAATCCCTTTGGTCGTAAATCATTCACTAAAATTCATTTCCACTTCCGTCCATTTATATAGACTTTGTAAATAAAGTCTACGCGTCCTAATGATCTGGCAATAGCCTCGACAGTTTGCATCTATATCTCGAGAAACCTCCATATTTTTATATTCTGTCTTTCCAAACTGGGACATTATACGACTCTGCATCTGTTTAATGAAATGGTACTTTAAAAGGGTCTATCATGTGGGCATACCGAGAAGAGTGAGTTTGTCACAGAGAAGATGCAGTTCTCAGGACTTTAAGTAACTGAAAGTAAATAGCAAAAATAGAATTGAGGAGTGTATTATTTCTTTTGGAGTCGGTTCTATTTTTGGGGTTGTCTAAAAGCAGCCACGGGACATCAGACGCTTGCGGTCTTTTCTTTAACGCCGAGAATAAGTCCTCATTGGAATCTAAGACGCCATGTGTAGTACGATCACTACGATTGGTGTAACCGTTAGCACAACCTTTGGTTCAACATGCTGTTTATATGGAGCCACTTTAAATGCGCTAAATGCTTTAGACTGCCATAATGCAGGAAGGTAGCATTTTCATATAAGTCATCTAGATTTTCTACCCACGAGACAATTGGACTAGAGTGGAGCTCTGTCTCACAAGTTAACGTGTTGGTCTCCCAATCATATTTTAAGCATTGTTTCTAACAAGTAATACTAAGGGATCGTTCATTTGTTTGGTTATTTTGGAGAAACTTAGAATACTTCTAATTTTGGGAGTGAAGTCTCCATCGATCGGAGGTCAAAATGGATTTTGTGGTTCTTTTCATTGGTTTATTTAATGTGATTTGATCAACTGAGAACTTTTCTTTTAATGATGGTAGGATTTCTGCTGCCATTCAGTTTTTTGAGTAACCTGTCTACGACTAGCAAACAGATTAGAGCTTTTTTATGAAAATTGTAATTGAAAATCTTCATTTTTAAGAGCTGAAGTCTGATGTAACTTCTTATGGAGCAAATTCCGAAGGGTAACTCCAGCGTAACTGTTAAGGAGAAAGTGTCATAGTCTGGTCAACCTGCTGGTGTGTAGCTCTCCTAATATTCAGCCGATTTAGGGAATTGAAGAACACGGTGGTAGGCACCTACAGCTTTCAGAAGCACTGCTTTTGAAGTTAATTAGTTTGTAGATGTTCCTGCAACGATTGAATTTGGTACTTTACCACCATTACTCGACAGTTATTCGCAACTCCCATTAATTTCCTTTCTCGTTTTCCGGGTCTGGACAGGTCGATATAATGAAGAAGGTAATTGCTGTAACAATAATGGCGATGTAAAGGCTATATCATTTCACTAAGATAAATCCGATGATCACCTTTTCCATAAGTACAAATGTAAAGGGATCATTACGTGATCTTATGCCAAAGCAATCTTTAGCACTTGGCACGTTAATAGACCATCGTGGTCATAAAATCGATCAGTAATCTAGGAAACGATCAGTGAGATTCGATTTTTGGAACTCTTAGCCCTGTAATAATCGTTACGTAAACGTAATCCAATTTCAAAAATCGACCGAACTACGACTTCTTTGAATCACGACTTTATTCACAGGATCCTTTCTTCCATCTCTCTTTAACATAAGCTATGATCCTTTCTCAGTCGCTTTCCCTCCTCGGAAGATTGGATTCGTCTACTTTTTCCCAGGATCAAAATCTTTGGTCGCTTTGATAAACTAAATTTTAGGGATCTTTTACACTTGCATATTCAAACCATATTTTGTAGGAGTTGAAAGATCACTTCGTCATTAAAGAACCTCCAACGATAACTCGGAAGTCATGCTCTGCATTAATAGTCACTTGGAGATTACGCTTCTGTCACTTGAACTCCTTTCACATTCCTACTGATGGCGCCAGGTAGTAGGGCTCATTTATTGCTCCAAGTTAGTGAGCACAACTGAAATTTTGGGCAGGATAATTAACGTCGTTCGGATTCCGCTGATTAAGAGGAATAAAACATCCCACTAATGTTTAACTGCATACAGTTTCTTAGTTTTGAGGTTTTTTGGTGCCTTTGCGAACACTCAATTCGAGAAATGAAAGCCAAAAGGCAAAGAATTTTCACTAGAGGCCTTTTACTCATCTAAAGGAGTTTCTATTCATGCGGTTGCCACGTATTTTCCATATCGACATCTTCATGTGTGATCGTGGAGGCGTTTTAAACTTTTGCAGTAGTTAAGAGTGCGTAGTAGCATTAAAGTGATGTTTAAGTTTAAAGATGAAATGCTACCAACTTCTACATTGCTACGAAGAGAAAGTAACCACAGTCAACCTTATGAATAAATTAAAGCCCTCTTTAAACAATGATTTATAGAAAACTTACCAGTTTAGGCACTCTCGTTTATGGAAAAATCGAAAACCCGTGTAGATTTTACAATCAATGAACCAAAAACTTCGGTTTCATCTGTAAGCAAAATCCTCAAAAATGGTTTTAAGGACAGAGGGAAACCACTCATTATTTGAACACTAATGGGAGCTTAATTACTAAAAACGCAGGCCGTTGTTCCTTTAAATGTTCTCATCTCCAATAAATGAGATTTTATAAGCTTTCGCTTTCTATTTCTAGACTGTCTTTGCGTTGCTGTAATTTAATAGCTTGACGTGTTACTCTTTTTTCCAACGCAGGAAGCTCTTCATTATTCAATGAAAGCACCCATTGCTTATGCGACTTTGATAACATCTTATGCTTGGTCTTACTAATTGTATAAATCATGCTCATAAGTCCAAAGTTACCTTTTAGAGTTTAATCGAAAATGGGTTCTAGTATTTTATTGAAATAATTCGACAATTCGATCTAAACAGGAGAAAACTACTCGTCAATGTGTACTTTGGCCCGTCTTTGTGGTCAGGTCCTTTTGTTGGTTTCAATTTTACAATAATATTAATTTTTAGGTAAGTTCACATAAATGAGCGATTTCACATGCACAAGTGGCGTTAAACTACGAATAGCCGGACGGTGAAAGAACTCAGGTCTTGTTCAAAGGTAGGCATTTAATTGATTTCGTTTGGGGAAGTTGTGGCTCCAAGTAGCTTTTACATATCTATGTGGAAACAGAATTAGCTTATTCATTAATTCTTTTCAATTACTTCATACCACGTGTCTCCACCTCATGATAATTTCAAGTTCAATGGGGGCTGTGGTAAAACAGTTTTAATGCATA